GGAGCTGGCGTCCTGAGTCACTATGGGTTCTATGCAAGCACAATCAACTCCCGTTCGCAAATGTACAGGTAGTCACACACCTTTAACCGCCACATCATTCAAGGATACTCCGCGGAACGGAGTCTTGAAAGCCGCCTTAAGTTTGTCTGCACCGATCCCGGCTATGACTCCGTCCAGCATATACGACTTTCCTCCATTGCTACTTTGCGGGTGTGCATGTATGGCGATCTTGCCAGGTAGTACCGGCTTGCAGGTAAAAGTGAATGGACGGGAAGCCCCCCCTGTTGCCGGTGTGAGAAATGTACAGGCGGATGCTTTGCGGGTTTTGAGATCCAAGAAGCCAGAACTCTGTCTAGAAAGTACCGGGCGTTTACGCTGCCGCGGGTTGTCGTCCAAAGAAAGACGCTTCATGAGCGTACGGGAGAGGTAGGGGCAACCAGCTACAATTAGATTGCAGCTCGGCTCGCTTCGGGCAGAACGCAGTCATATCCGGAGCGCACCGCCCACAGCCCCAGAAGTCGCCACATGTAGCTTGATCCTAGCGACCGCGAATGATGTTTCAGGCAGCTTCGCCAAGTACTCGCATGTATTTGGGGAAGCTGCTTCTACCTTCCATCCTCCGTATGGCGAGCTCGACGGCATCATAGCCTACAACACTAGAGAGTAAGACTAGCAAGCTCCCGAGTGAACGCTGGACGAGTACAATAGAGGATAACATGCCAACACGGCTAGCTTTGGGCTGAACGCATTCATATCCGGAGCGCACGATTCCGAGTGACTTGCCAGGCGGGTTTGTCAGCTAGTCGTATGTTCTTGGGAAGGCACTCAAACTTCCGCATGCACAGCTCGACAAAATCGTAGCACACGGTCCCAAAGCTGGATCAAACAAGCCCCCTAGGCGAGCGCGATCGGTGGTGGACGATCATCAATCAAGGTTCATGCGAATCCATCCTGATACGTATATTGGAAAGCGTTCCTGGTGCGTTGATCAGCGTTGTACAAGGAGTATGTTTCTCAGACTATTCAAGCGGGATTTCATTCTTGCGAAGGCTTTCTAGACAAAGCCAATAACTTGAGGCGTGTGCATATTTGCCCAACATGTTACGGGTGACTCTCCATGCAGGTCGCGGTGATGGCGAAGTAGTTACGTGGTCGATGTGAATGGAGAGTGTAAGTTCGTCGTACATGCCCTGATGCCCGATCCGTATTCACTGACAGGGACGATAAGCATAGGCGTTCTCTGGGCGCCATCGCGAAACCATGGCCATCTAAGCCACCCAGAGGTAACAATCATGTCTGAAGCGGTCTACAATGTTTGGAGTCCCTACAAAACAAAGTCCACCGTAGATGGCAGCTCAGTAATGGAGTACGACAACTATGAGAACGTGAGGTAAGTGAGAGATGACCAAAAGATGCGCGACGTGGTGGTCGAAGGAAGAGCCCCGCAGGAACTTCCGCGTCGGACGGTCTCGACCACGTGTCTCGGTCACAGCGGCCGGAGATCCACGTCCAACACGCCGAAGTTTGAGCCCTGTTCTCTTCCACCACTGTCCTCTCCATCCATTACACGTAGTTCTGCTCTCAATGCGCACCATCTATTACAACTCTGCAATAGACTCTTTCTGCCCGTCTCGACCTGTGTGACCCAGCCTTCGTACCCGCCGGCGTCGCGAACGTATGCGCTTCTCTCTCCCTTCGACGATGAGGAGTTGCCCTTGAATCACGGCATTCAAGCGCTCGCCCGAAGCGGTCCTTGTAGCTGATGGGGGCGAAGACAAGTGAAATACACGCGAACGGCGCCCTGTATCAGTATTGGACGCAAGGCTTTACCGCTTCAGCCGTAGTTTGCGCGCAGGGCACACCAACCTATGTGATAGAAAGCTACTTCGCGGCCGAAGCGCTGGATAGGGCTATCTTCGACGGTCCCAGTTTGTGTCGCTCAACCGTGGCATGCAACGTCAAGGATCAACCTACCATGACGGAGCTTAAGGCGGCCTTTCCGCTCTTACGCAGCACCTGCCGCACTCAGTACACACTGCGCATTCACCCGACCATCTCCCCAAGAACGGCCACAGTCACACAGGTCATCTCGACTTCCCGGTGTTTCATCACGGCCCCCCACCTCGAACCCGTTTCCACATGTCAAGGTCTGGGTCTGCGCTCACACAGACGATGAGGAATGCTAACCCTTGTCTAGAACGTGAAGGACCTGCAGTCGGACCACATCATGCGATCGCATCTCCTTGTTCTGTTGTGAGTGCCCCGCTCACAAAACCGATTCCGCGTCGATAACGTCGACGCGATCTAGCACATCCCCGGACACGTCGGTGCGCCCACACGCATGCTATGATGTCTACGCTCATATGTGAAGTGCGCATGGCAGAACGCTTCAAACCTCCTCTATCGCCGTCTCAGCTCCGGTCACGTCAGCGAAGTTTCCAGTAATGATCTCAAGGCCAAGCGAGAACGCCACCTCGGTGAACTTCAAGGGCGATCCCCACGTCAGCGTCAAAGGGGCCGCCACGGTTTACTCGGCCGCAGTGAGCTAGCATGAGTCGCGCAAGTTCGCGCCAATCCCCTTCCCACGACCTCCTCGCGCTCATCTGGCAGGCGTACGAGCTCATTGACGAGTGCATGGATTGTAAAACGCGCTGGTTGCTCGCGTAGCACGTTTTCAGTGCGGCCGACATCTACTCCTTCGACACGTACGCGTACACCATCGGCCCGCCGAGAAGATCGGCTCAGTGTCCCTCAGTCGGTCGCATTACCTCGAGGCTGTTACGCGCGAGTTTTCTCGAACCGGGACGAGTGGAGGCGGTCTACAGCGAAGTGTGCGAGAAGAGGACTCGACTCGACGTCACACAACCTCGTGTAACGACCCATTCTGAGGTTTCTGTCGCCCAGCTCTGCCTCGCAGAGCAGTTCGATTCGGCGGACCCAACGTGCGCGCACAACATCCCAGATGCGGGGGAGGTTCGTGCGGCGTGCCGAGAGCAAACAGGTCAGGTGACCGCGTTTCGGGCCCCGCCGGCTCAAACCAACCTCAACCTACGAACAAGCAGCTGGTACTGCTCTACGTACCTCGTAGACCAGCCTGGCTAAGCGTTTGCGTGCCTGAGAAAGTTCAAGCGTGAAAGACACTTAAATTAAAGTATCTACTTGTCTAGACGAGTAGATACGAGCGTGCCGAAGGCGCGCGAGACGCGATCGCGTCACTGACGATTGGGCTTTCCCGAACAAACGGAAGAGCTCTCTTCAGAACTTCTCCCTTGGTAGGGTGCTCGCCAGATATCCTCTCGGACTCTCTCACGTACATGTGAGATTCGAATGGTCATAGTTCTTCGTTGGCACGCTAAATACATGGACACAAGTAGCCTGTACAACTAGGTACGAACATCCCATGAACAATTAGAACGAGAACATAGCGGACTGCAAGCTAGCTGAAGCTACGGAGCTGATCTGGATGAGACATAACATTTACTTGAGGGGTTGAGGAATGACCTGCAACGTGATGACGGGTGGCGTCCAAGATCTGGGGAGATGAATCGGCGTAGGCGAGGTTTGGGGCGATCGAGGCGAACATGGGACGAAGGTTTGTGGCGCGTGAACACAGGAGAAGAGAGCGAGAGGGCTATAATAGAGGGGGTAGTAGATGAAGATAGATGAGTGAAGGGTAGAGAGAGGGGCGAACAGGGTGCGCAGGGGTGGTGGCGGCGACGATGACAGTCAGAAGCAAGACGTAGAGTAGAGATATGAGATGACAAGAGAGTACTGGCGCGGAAGTAAAACCGCTTGTTGGAGGAGCCTACTGATCTGCCGGCGAATATGCATGTGGAATAGATTGCTGATATTGTCGTCGTAAATGTGAGCCTGTGAATCCTGCGCCGAGATCGAAGCAGATGCCATGCAGTGAGGAAGGGGATCGCCGCGATGTTCGTTCTGGCGGCGAGCTTCGTGGTTCATGTGGCGTGCCCGCTGGCGAGGGCCGCAGGCTGCTATACGAGCGTACCATGCACCACATCAGTCTTGAAGAGCTGTGATGGGAGCTATGAGTAGACGCTTATTACTATGAGAGTGGACGCGAGATCGAAGCTTACCACGATTCCACCGCCGGAGTCTTTGGATACCTTCCTTGAAAACACAGACGCGCTTAGACTGCCCTCCACTACACGGAGCGCATATTGAGCGCGTTCATCTTCAGGGCCGCACTCCACGATCACCTTGATGGGCGGCTTCGCCTTTATAGCGTAACGTCCGCGTTCGTCGATGAAACGGCTACATATCTGTTGGATTGTTTGTACGGCTGAATATCGCTGTAAGGGAGTGGCCACGTACATTCTTGTAAAGAATGTAGTACTCAGTTGCCGGCCGAGCAGCAAGTGCTGCCATGTGGCCGTTGACCAGCGACATGTTGGTGGGACCGTCGTCAGATTTGAGCCCATTTGGCTACGTGGGCTATTATGCCAGATTGAACCGAGTAGAACCAGATGAAAGTACGAATCTCAGTTACATCCTTGAGCGGAGACTGCCGCTCTGCGTACGCGGGCCATTCCTTCTGCGCGAGGTGCCTTCATTTTCCGTCTTGACGACATACTTTCAAACCGTTCGAATGAGATTCAGCCCGGGTAGGATAGAAGTGGCCTAATGGACGCACGTTGGAACCCTCCTTAACAAGTGCATCATCCTCTCTGCCTGTGTACATATCCTTCTCCAGTAATCCTCGTTTATCCTGCACATCCTTTCCGCGCAAACGGCCGAGTCTCACTAGGCAAGCTTTCTAAGTGCTGGTCGCCGTGGCTGAACTCGCCTCCTTCTACGTGAGTTGAACACCGGCATGCGTAGATAGAGATTCCAAGTTCGATGCGGATAGTCGGGGACAAGGGCGACCATTGGCGGGAAGCGGGATGAGGATCTGTGGTGGACGCGGAAGATAAGTCCCGCCTGGGCGTCCGAATCTGCGTTCTAATACTCGCGAGCACCCACGCGTGTATCAAAGCCGGAGAAGCAGAGGAAGAAGCCTCGGGTGCTAGGGGCGTGTGCATTGCAGGTCTATATAAGTGCGTCTTCTGCTTCCTAATCATCAACGAAGCGGATAACTAACTTACGCTTGGGCGATATGCATTCTAACGGTGTATATGACGGAAGATAAACATTACAGTAACGACGATCATGCACATGGCGAATACAGACCGTTGCCAACGTTCTGCGGCGCTTGAGATATATCTTTCACTGCGGGAAGCATGGATCTATTGCCAATAGCATCTAGCACCAAGGATCTTGGGGCATAGTGGCCATAGCATGTCGTGTCGGAGGCAGGGGTAAAAACAATAGGTATATGAGTACGCAGTGGCGGCATGGGTACGGTATAGCAATAGGTGACGGTAGCATTCGACCTGTATATGGATAGTGCAACCACGGAACTTCCACCTCGTACGATCCGCTAGGCTCTTCGTCTACGTGTACAGTGCACCACTATCAGCAAGCCGGAGATTCGCGAAAGGCAGGGTGACGTACTTTTTCTTCGGTTCCGGAGCCGTTTCGGATAGCTGCACGCCCTTCCTCTTCTTCTCAGCTGCGGGGGTGGGCGACTGTGCTTTATTGTTAAGCTCCTGGAGGTCCGGAAACGTCTTGGCCATCTGCTCCATGACCCAGACCATGTCCATGACCACTTCTACCCACTTGTCCAGTTCATCAATCGCATCAGATTTGATGCTTCTCCCCCACCATCCAAGCGTAATAAGAAGTTGCACAACGCCATGCCTGCCATACTTGCGCAACTGCTCCCATGATATCTCTGTGCATGTGTCGGGGCGTGCGAACGGCCACGAATCGGAAGAGCGCCAACCAGGTTGAAGGTCCTTGTACCAGGCGAGCCATGCTCGAGAAAAGGCGGTGACGTTCTCTGACCCGGGAAGCACGCTTGCGAAATCGCGTCCCTTCGCCCATTTCAGGTAACCATCCGGTCGTTGTGCTATCTTGAGTTTGAATTTCCTGAACTATGTAGATGCGATTAAGTGATGCGTTAACTGAGAATGCGGTCCAACATACGCTGCTACCCTGATCAAAATTGTTTCGCTGTTCATGAGCGACCCACAAGTCAAGAAGCCTGAACCAAGATGGACGGGCGTCAACGGTGTCCGGGATACCACTCCGCGAACTTTCCCAGACGAAATGGTCACCCATTTTTCGCAGTCCGTCGTAGTCGCATCGGAAGATGGTGGCATTTTCGCGCTTGATTCCCGTTAGCATATTCTCGACAGCGAGCTGCGGCGTCGGAAACACATCTCCTGAGACGCGATGAGCACATTGAGTCGAGACAAAAGTTTCCCAGTACAACGACGCACCGCGTGAAATGTGAGACACTACCATACAGTCCGAAGGGGAAAGCGCGGAGTCAATATGGGGAGAGGTGACGCTAACATCTTCTCCCAAAGGGCGTCCAGTACCGACCTGCAGGTGAATTGCTGGCGCCTCTTCACAATCCAGGACATCTTCATGACAGGCTTGGTTTGGGGCGTCTGCAGCGGCTTCATCTTGTATACGTCCATCCTGCGCCAACGCCCGGCCAGCGCCCTCCTCTTCGTCGTTCCGCACGAAGGCAATCAGCCCCGCAGGAAGCTGATCTTGCGCGCCTCCATCGTACGTCAATGCCCGGCCAAGGCCATCCGCTTCATCGCTGGCCACAGAGGAAGTGGGCTCGGCGCTGATGTTCGATAGTCGCGCGACCAGAGCGTCGTCAGCAACAGCAAGATCATCGGACACGACGCCAACGCCGAGACAAGGCGTCTTCGTGGCGGCAGGTGGGTTGGCCCTTCCATTGCAAGTATGTGAGTGCCATGGCTGTTGTAGCGTGGAGACGAGACTGGCGCTCACTGTGTGCCAATGTTAGGTCCCAGCTCGGAATGTACCGCAGAGCCTTCGGAAGTTGGTTCGATGGGTACATCGTTGCCGTGCATCCCGGCCTCGCCCACTGCACCGGTATCATGTTTCGACTCAGCCACCATGTGGTTCTCAGGCCCAGGGCACGTTGGCATCGAGGGCTGGGTGTCCACCTCCCCTGCGCCCGCGGCGATACTAGCAGAACCTTCAATCACGCGTCCCACGTCCCCGTCTTCATCCCCGGTCCCGGGCCGCTCCAAGCCGCGCTGGGACAAGCCCGCTGAGTTCATACGCGCGTCCTCGAGTTTCGCATCGTCAAGAGGATGACGCGAAGGTGGGCTGAGACTCGGCGAGTGAATCCGCTGCTGCCGGTGATCCGATCCCTGAGGCCCCGAAACGCGTTGCTCGCGAGAGGTGTGAACGAATGCAGGAGCTGGAGTGTTCTTTAGCTCTGAACGCGGCTGGTCCTCCTCATCGCCAGAGTCCTTCTCGTCTTCGTCGAGCTTGATGACCTCCTCCTCCTCATGTTGAGAGACGCTCGCGCCCGTGAAATGCACGGGAAACCGGGCTGGATTGCTGTCATCCTCCACATCAAGAACCGCGAATCTCAGGTTGAAGCCATCTGATTTCGGGGGCGCTTCGGGGAAGAACGCATGAAGCTTCTGAATGCCCGCCGCTAGGCAATATCAGCACAATTCTACGCATAAGATCACAATATAGCACTGCTACTCACGATACACGTCTGACTTCAGGAAGTGAAGGAAATAGTCGTCGATCTTACTGGCGGCGTAGCGCGAAGACGTAACGAAGTGTTGACCGTTAGCGTGTTGAGTTGAATATCTAGTGCACGTCAGGATGAACGAGCCGGTTATAGTAGAGGTGATATATCGATGACTCACGCGTTTCTACGTATCTCACCGTTTTCTACGATGTTGCATCCACCAACAAGAAGCGTGAACGACATGCCGGTCCTCTTGTGAAGTGCATTGACCAAGGCTTGACAAGTAGTATCGAGATATTGCTGAAAACTTCGCACGCCGTATCAATAATAAGTACGCAGTCATCGATAAAGCACGTACTCTGAAGACTGCACTAGATGCTGGATGTGAGCCTGCGCTTCGATGGAGAGTTCCTCAAGAATGCTTTCCGCTGGGGTATCGCGAGACCCTAGTGGAAGCCGCTTCTTGACCTCGGCAGGTTGGTTTGCAAGTTCCATCGCGGCGAACCTATGATTGAACTGCTTGCGCGCCGCCTCACGATCGGTACCCTCGGGAAGCAGGGGACTAAACATGGCCCAGTTCTCGTCCGCGCGCTCTTTGAGACCTTTCTGCCAGTTGGCTAGGAGGTAGTCCGTGTACTTGACATGCCTCTGTTTCCTAGAGAACATGTCTGAGATCCTCTTGAGATCATCTGCAAACGTTGACCCTTCTTTCCCCAGACTCCTCTTAAACTTGTAGAGGACCTTGCCCTCCTCATCGACGTCGTTCTCCGTGACCAGCACCTTCCTCGGGTGTCTATCGAGACGTCCTTGATTCCCGAACCAGTTACGTATTTTCTATACACAGTAAGCATCGTGCTGCGTCTAAGTAGGTTTAACACGCACCTGGCGAAACGCCGTATCTCCCGGCAAAGTGTCTGCTCCTGGGTATCTCTCCAGTAACTCCTTGCAGAAGGTGGTTATGAAGTCGTCCGTCCTCTTCTGGTCCTTCATTTTCCTGTATCTAGGAATGGCGTCTATGCAATCGTTCCACATACGCGGCGTGAGTCGACAGTATCCCATACTATTCGAGTGATCGTGCGCAGTAGCAAAAATGGAAGAAAGAGTTGTGGCCGACGCCGCCGTGGCACAGCGCGAAGCCCATTGCCGAAATGAGTATGATTCCCGCGCCACGTCGGTAATTTCACTGCTACTTCGCCGCGCGACATCCCAGCTACGCAGACTACTAATCAAATTAGCCACCCGAAGGTCCAGCCACGGGTCTCGCGGGGCGATTCCAACGAGTTGGGATCACTATGCACACCGTGAGATCAACACACCCCAAGCCGTCGCAAAATGTCATCACACTCTCTTGCATAGTATAGTTCGATGTAGGGCATGAGGAATGGACTTGAGTAACATGAAGGTAGCAAGAAGGGTTGCCCTCAATGCACGCCTGATGCCCGATCGTACTTCGGATCACGGAACGGATCAAAGCTCACTCCCTCGGCGAATCGGTCGACTAGAACTAAAGCCGGTGCTGAACAGCGCCCAAAGATACACCATTACGTGCAAAACCCTCGGTACAAATATCTCAAATAGTACTTCATAAGACGGTCAAGTCATCGGGCACCCCCAGTGCTTGAAGAATAATATCAGCACTCGCGACGAGTGCCGGCAATGGCCGCGAAGTTCCTCGGACTCATCGTAATCTTTCTTCGAGTAGCACTTTCGCCTGGGTTCTTTGTCGCACATCGTATACAAGAGGCGGATCTGATACCCCGCGAGAGAACCCACTCGCCAGTAAGCACCGCATCAGATTGCCAGGTAAGCTGCACGGTATGTATTAGGCACCACGAATAACGTGAAACGGAGTGATGCAGGCATCAGCGCGTAAATCTCGTCAAAGTGCGGGTCGCAAGGCGTTCGTAGGCTACCCGCGATCAGGCGCGAGGATGGGGTTCAGTTGAGTGGAGGCGGAACGTGGTTTCTGGCTAGAGAAAAGGAGGGAATGAGCGAAGAGGGTCGTGGGGAGATATACCAGAAAGTGGCGAGAGTTCGGGGTGAGGGCTATGTGTGAATCTAGTGCGCACGCTTCAGCGATTGTACCACCCCGCGAGAACAGCGCATGAACTCGCCTCTGCCAGCTAGGATGCCAGCGTCTGCATCATGTCTTCTAATACACACGCGCTTGCCTATCAATTCCGTGAGTCATCGATTGCGCGATATATTGTTGACACTGCGTACTCATATTCCATGCAGGCGTCCAGGAAAGCCCAACTGTATCCGCATCGCCTCCAATGCCACGTCGCCAGCCTTCCCATCCGCATTCAGACGCGCGCCGTTGAGCTCATGAACTAGCCCTCGCGCTGTCTTGGACCTGGATCGTGCATCAACCTTCCAACGCCGCTGGCGTGATCCCATAGAAGTCCAGGGCACTCGGTGTAGCGAGAATGAGGACAGATGAACTGCGTTGCTGCTGGGAGGATGTGGACGGTGCCGCAAAACTGTGCGAGGGCCCGGAATTGGACCTAGCACTGGTGATATTGAGGAAATTGAGGAGATTGCCGATATGTGTCGTAGTCGAAGAGAGTACTGCACGACTACCGTCTGCGCTATCGGACCAATGGCGTGTGACTAGAAACAACAACTTCTGGAGCGACATAAACTCCGGATGTAAGTGAGCCGCGGTGCTTGTACGGAGACCTGCTAGACAGACTCACGGCAGAAGACTGAAGCGACGGGCGGGCGGAAGGCTGAAGGGACCGGCGGGTGGAAGGCTGAGAGGATGGACGCGGGGTCTTGAGCGTCGCCGTAGCTGATAAGCGGAGACGAGTTGACATCGTCGGCGTCCGATACGAGAACTGTGAAGAGCCGGTCGAAGTGCCCAACAAAGCGAGCTCCCGTCTGCTGGCGTAGTGAGCGGCCATAGACACTTGATATCGGTGGGCGCGAGGCCGACGATAGAGTCTTCGGTGCGCGCCATGCGCAAAGCTCCTTGCGCATTGTCGCGTCACGGAGTCGTCAACAATGAGAGCATCAGGAGTTTCAGCGCCGTCCTCTCGCGCGTACGCGAACGGTCATCTCCTGCGAGTGACACAGCGCGCTTCCAGTCCGATAGCTCTGCGAAGAGCTCCAATGAGAACGTTGCTAGTGCTAGTCGCTGTAGTGGGAGCAAAAGAGTTGGCGAGTATTCGCCTGGCAAAGGATGAATTGGGTTGCGATAACCGAAGCACATCCGGTGTTGAAGTGGTAAGCGGTAAAGCTTGCGCCTTCACAGTTCGTGGCGGTCCGCGCTCGTGCACCTCCGCGCTTCCCGCGCTACCTTTGCGTCCCCTCCTCTCTCGCCGATCTGGATACACCATTATTCACTCCCGACACGTCTACATGAGCACTGCGCAGTGAGCCTTCAGCGTTATGCTCAACTGGCCAAAAGATGACGACCTTGTGGCTTCAGGCCGTGAGGTGACGCGCCCATGTGGCTTGCGCGTGTGCCGCAGTTCGCGTTGGCGGTATATCCCTCGCACCGACCTCTCGCCTCGGTGCGCCGCCATTCAGCAGCATTGAGGTGTCTTTGAACTAACGCTGAGGTGATCGTATTGGCTCCTAGGCGAGCGCCAGGCTCTGGACTCTGGCCATTCCCGACGAGGCTAGCGGTAATCAACGTGTTTGCGTTGGATCCGAAGAATCCGCTACGAGCATGCCTCAACCGGCTCATAGACTATATTGCTATGTATACATCCCGCCTTCGTGAACTGACAAGCGTGACACCACCAGATACTCCGAGTCTGTATGAGGCACCAGATTATGCGCGATGATACATTAAGGATTGACATCGGTGATACCAAAGTCCTCGAAGAATCTGTCTTGCAGGAACCTGTAGCAGGATAGGTCAACACCGATAGATCAGCAAAGCGTATTGTCGAGCACTCGCCTGTTGCCTTCGAGAATGAGCATTTCCTCGCACACAGCATGATAAAATACATGCAGCCCTTGGAAAAGCAAGTCGCGCATTTGCAGCGCCCCGGCAGCGGCATGATAACGGGCATAAGCGAGGGTGTGTGTGCGACGGATCCGTAGTTCGCGCTGAGAGCGTTTGCCAAAGCAAATTTCTCGCACGGCTACGTTGTTTAGGTACGTAAGGACTGGTGCCAGCACCGGAGCGTCTGGCCGGTTGACGCTGAGTCTGTCGTCGTCGGGCACGGGAGGTCTCGCATCAAGAGTTAAACGAAGGTAATTGAGGGCGTCGGCAAGAATATCTTGATCGTGGCTCTGGACCTCGCGGTTGCGACGCGTGTCTACTTCGACCGGTTGAGCACTATACCGCGGGATGTAATCTTGTACTCTATCACTCGTCAGCGTGACTCCACGAGCAGTCGTTCGCTGGAAACTGACGAGCCTGTGACTTGTCCAGCGAGGGTTGGCGCGTCCTCCTGCACTGGCACTGTACGCCATTCGTAGAAGGACACGACTTGACCCTGTGAGAGCTGACTATAGTCAATACCGGTGGACGTGGCATTAGGTCCGCAATGTGCCTGTCACGTACGCCAGTCTCAAAGTCAGCTTGTGGTTGAATGCTGGTCGCGTTGGACATGGAAGATTCCGTGCTTTGCATGCTGCGCCTAAGTCCCAAACAATGTCAGCATACCGAAGTAGGTCAAGATGGCTTCACGCACTAGTCGCCGACCAAGAAATCAAGCTAGGTTGGGTGTATATGTGCGGAATAGGAAGTCTATGCAAGTACATATAGCTGAGGGCATGCCTTTTGCATGAGGCATCACTGTTCCGTCCGTTCGGGCCATGCCCATCGTAACTTGATCCACCACGGCGGTGGCATCCTGTCTCAAGACGTCCGTCGGGGGACTTGCGATGGTGGCTTCATTCCGGTGGAGTATGAGATACGTCAATCCACGGATATCAAGCCCGATGGTCAAGACTACCATAGTGGAAGGGCACGGGGAGCCGGAGATGAGCAGACCGCGCAGCAAAGTCGATAGCGAAGTTGTACAAAGCCAATATGGTCGTGAAAGGGGCACAGATGTACCCGGACGTGGATATCCTGATGGAATCATCTATTAGCCGACTTCGATGATATGCTATCATCCTTACGCACCGCTTACGCTGCTGGATGCTTCGTCGCAAAGATAACGATGATGTGCATGAAGAGCGCTTCGCAAGAAACTGTGCGGGGATTGAGACTGAGCGGTCACGGTGTCTCAGTGGTAGCATTAGATTGAATGACCACACGCGCGTTGTTTACTATACTCCAAATTACTACTGAAGGCTCGAGTACTCGATGGCGCGAGGTCTCTTAGAATACAAGGTGAATGTTTAGCCAATCCTACGAAAACGTGGAGAGTTGGTACTTACGAGTTCGTATAGATGTCATCAAGACAGTCATCGTCTTTGAAAGTCTTAGAGAGTCAAAAGTAGAGCCAGCGAGCATTGACGAGGCTCCGGCGTGTTGGGAAGGACAGAAGTTCTCTGTTGAACCTGCTTCCGCGCCGTGATAGGGGGACGGCGGCGAGAAGTAGCCTGCAATTCGCACGCAGCACGTGTCGGGGGGCAGCCGCGCTGATCTTCTCTAGCGGCGTAGTGCCCTTGAAGCTTGAAGCTTGAAGCTTAGAGCTTAGAGCTGGAAGCCCGGACGCCTCTCTTTTCGGCGGGTAGCTGAGCCCGTACCGCACTCAGGCAAACAGGAATGACCAGTCAAGCTGTGTCGACCTTGGTCGAATCCAAACATGAACCCGAGCGCTCTGAATTTCACAACCAGGTGCGTTTCGACCATCGCTTGCTGATTGCTGGATAGCCGATAGCTGTGATGAACTAAAAGTACGGCTCGGACGTCCTACCACGCGGATCATTATGTATCGAAGCTCTTCCCTTTCGCCCTGTCCTTCTCACCATACAGGCCGCCTCCTCTGCGCAACCTATCTTCTTTGTCGCTCCCCTCCCCCAGCAACTTCGGCAACAGCAGAGCCACAACATGGATGTCACGATGGCCAACGTGGGTCACGGTCAGGCCTTCAACCCGGCCTCGTACGCTCGCGCCATGTTTGGTTCCCCCATCTCCTGGCGCACAGGCTTCTCTTTCAATTCAAGCATGTACCCCCACACTTTTCAGTCGCTTGGCAACTTCGACCCGAACAGCGGCACGCTATCGTCGTCCACCGAGAGTGATTGCGACCCGTTTACGCGGACGGAGAGCGAGTTTGTGAGCATTGGGCGGTTATCCATCAATCTCGTAAACTAATTACAGTACAGTGCCGCAACTTTACGTGCTGCGGATTGCACCTCAGCGACATGCACGCGCTCGTCGAACACTTTGAAGAGGCGCACGTCGTGGTCGTCGACCCGGGCGCACACCATCCTCATCACCCCCAAAACATGAACTACCCGGCACCTCAGCCGCAGGGCTTTGACCCGGCTGACAACATGGAGCTCGACTATCAGTCTCCCAGCTCTTCGGATTCGTCCCCTCCCAAGACGCCGCCCTGTGTGCCCGCAATCCCTACTCAGGCTCCCTACGTGAGTCCGCCGTACTCCACGCTCTCTAGTCAGCCGCGCAACGCGTGCCCCAGCCCGGTCTCTGCGTTAGACACCATCGTCGTCCTGCCCTCCCATGCCACCGCATCAGAGGCATATGTGAACTACACGCCGCTTCCAGCAGTAATTCATGATCAGCACGAGCACGAACAAGTCGCCGTTGCTCCGGTCATGCTCTTCGCTCGCGACAACACCGTGCAAGTGAAGCAAGAGCCTGATACCTTCAAAGCGGCTGCGCCCTTTACGTCCGCACAGCGAATTCCCTCGCCCACAGGCACAGCGCCTCCCGCGAGCTCGGCAGGCTCTCGTCCCGCCTCGTCGCTTCTCCTCTCCAATCCCTTCCGCTGCCCCAAGCCTAATTGCAACAAGTCTTACAAGCAGGCAAACGGCCTCAAGTACCACATGACGCACGGCTCGTGTTCGTTCGCCCCACCGAAGGATCGCGAAGCCATCCAAGCTTTGCTCGCCGAGAGGGGACTCAGCGCTGAGGATGATCTCCCGGAGAGCGACGCGCGTGAAGTCGAGCAGGAAGCGCGACGCCGCCTTCGTCCGTTCGCATGTGTCGTTGGCGAGTGCACGCGCCGTTACAAAAACATGAACGGCCTACGGTACCACTACCAGCACTCAGGCAAGCACGGTGCCGAAGGTCTCCGCCTCCTTGCTTCCGGCGAGCACGAGTGCCCGCGGTATCATAACCGACGGGCGCGTCAAGCCTCTGCCGCGGCGAAGGTGGCTGCAAACAGACGAGGCACGCTGATACCTGTCAGCCAATCCACTCTGACCGTTCAGCGGCAACCTCAACACTGAACTCAACAGTGGCGGCGGCGATCCCTGTCAGCATCTTTTGCTAGCTCATCTCTAGTCCCATTATACCTTTGTCTACTATACTGGCTTAGTTCGGCTCGCGGCGATGTCTTCATTCATCGATGCTTATACTTCACATTGGTCCTGACTATGGCAAGGCAGTAACACCTCTTGATAACGATTACACCGATGCGACTGACTAAGGTATCAAGGCATATGCTGTACGTACGCCAACGTCGGATGCCCGGAGGTCAAAGAGACGCAAGTTGTCGGACGTGAGAGTCGGGCTCAAGCGGAGGCACTGGTGCCTCGCCCTGTGTGTGCGTGAGTGCTCTCCGAGAGAGCTGTGCTGAGTTTCGCCCGCCGTCGTGACGTGAGTTCGGGAGACGGTATACGAAAGGCGAAGGATCTCTTGCAGCGTCAGTGGTCGCTATGAGGGCGGATTCGGAACGGCCGCGCCGAGGCGCGGTCACATGAGACACGCGCTTGACGCGTCCCTGAGTCGGCGCGAGAAAGGCGCGGGTGGCCAGCGCTAGGCTGTACGAGCCGCGAGCTACTACGCGCGGAGAGCCTCCACGCTGCCATCCGGAGTCAGAAGCCTGGAGCCCGGAGAGAACCTCCAGCGTGTAGCGCTGTGAGTCGAACAACGAGAGAGGGAGGTGCGCGGGCGAATATCAATCGTTCGTCTGAGCAGCCTAGCGAGCCCGAGAGGAGGTTGGGGTCGCGAAGAAAGAGAGCTCGGCGTTCTCCGGCGCGCGTGATCTCACAGAGGGCCTACGCGTATGATGGGCCCTCCTGCCTTACTTCATCTTGCCTCCGCGCAAGCGTGACTCGTACCTCGCCACGCTTGCGCTACAGAGACCTGAGGATCTGGGACCATTGTTCCGCATTAGGGAGTGCAGTCGCGTGCCGTGGATCCCGCGGGCGCGACGCGCACACTCACAGAACGAGCCTTCCTTGTCAAAAAAGCGCGTTCGCTCTGTGACATTCTGACGCGAAGTCCAGACCGATGATTTCTGTTGCAGGCTGACTTGCGGTATACGACCTCAATGTATGCGAACGCGGACCGCAAACGAGCGTGGTGGGTGAGAGGAATCAAGGTGTTCTATCGAGGAGGATCATCGATCAGATCGATCAGACGTGCGCGTGCGTGAGCGTTCATTATGTACGGTTGCATTCTGACCACGATCTGCGTCCCACCCTGGTCTTTGAGCTACAACCTGAATCCAACTTTTGTGCCTATCACCTGAGTTGGACGGAGACGCACTCTCGACAACTCATCTTGCTATGGCTCCAACCACACGCGCTCAGGCTCTCTCTTCTACCCATCCTCAGAAGGCTTCAAATGAATCACCCTCTACCAGCCCGCAAGTCAGGAAGCCTCCCAGATGCCACACCTGCAATCAGCTTCGGAAGGGACACCCCCTCAAGGGTTGTCCGAACCAACGACAACCAGTTACGGACGGAGCAGAGGATACGAGCGCTTCCGACATTCGCCTCGCGGACGCCCTGAGTTCACTGAGCCTGAACACAGCGAACGAAAGTTTCTCGGTCACGGCTTCTGCTCCTTTGCGCGTAAATAAAATTTCCAACCCAGCAGCCGACGGAAGTATCAACGTCTGGAGTTCCAATAAGCCTGAGGAGGCTTCCGAGCCGCTAGACGAACCTTCGCCTGTGGTTCAGAAACCTCCCACACCTTCGACGCGTTCTCTTACGCGACCGGCGAGCATAAGCGCTAGGGCGCGCTTCTTCGAAGACCTTGGCCGCATTGCCACGTCTGTGCCCATATCCGTATATGTTATCCCCGCGGCGGAAGCGGAGCAACTCCAGTCTTCTGCGGAGATGGCCGGTTTTCACGCGACCACAGTCACTGCGCAAAAGGGCACGCGGGAGGAGGAAGTGCTACTAGTCCTTAGTAACGAAGACACCGCGGTCAGACCTGTGAGCGAGAACCTAGAGAAGGTGGGAGCTGTTGCGGCCAAACATATCCGGGGTTTGGGCCTGGCACAAGTAACAGCGGGGGCGATTGTTGGCGCGGCGGCTGTGTTTGCGGGGTTGGCTCTGTGATGAATATTCTTGTCATTGTATAGTATGTATTCGGCAAAGCGGCTGTAGTACCCTTTTCATTCTCTCACAATCAATGATACATTGCTTCCCAATGTCTCTTGTCATCTACCCTGTATTCGGACGAAGCACTGACACTTATCTACTGTAGCTTGGGTATAGACACGGCCTTGATTGACCATTAAATGAC